TAAGTTTGTAACAACCATGTTGTCAATGACTGGAATGCTTTGCAAGATAATGTCATTGTGGCAATATCAGTTGTGCCCAACATACAAGTTGGGTATAGACACATATATTCAGCTGATGATGAGTTTAAAAAGACTTTTGCTTTAAGACTTTTACTTAATTAACTAACTAATATCAATAAGAGATATTAAGCTTGTATCACTCCAATTCAGTTGAAGGATTTTCTTTTCTATTCTATGACTGCTTTTGTTTCTGAAAATAAAAACATTCTTACTTTCAAAAAACTTGCTACAAACAAAAAAAAAAGTAATTATGCTTAAAAAATATAAATGATACCGCATAATACAATTTTTAAAAAACCTTTGTACACAGATGTTTGATAAATTATTAATAAAAGAACTAATTTTAATAAGTTTACTATTTTCTGAGAGTAATTATTGTTTTAAATCCAAGAGTGATCTGTTCATCATCATTTTTAACCATTGCATAGAAACAATTTGGATGTATCAAACAGAAAGCATTACCTAATATTTTTTTTGTTTTCTTTTTACATCATCAAAATTAATAAGATTCAATTGATTAATAGTGAAAAACAGAACCTGGGTGAATCTTGCAATTTGAAGATTTCTTTATTTGAAACCATGATGGAGCAAAAACTTTATTAATATAATGGGTAAACTTTTTCAGAATTGCGTTTGGAGAAACATCTTGAGTATATAAACAAAAAATTCATATAGAAAAGGTTAACCATCAAGTATGATTCAGTGGACTTTACAATTAGCCCATTTGTTGTATACTTTACCTAATCCAATACCTTTACAATATTCGTAGAAAAGTCTTTGATCATGATCAATATCTTTTAATATCTCATCTGAAATATATCCTTTAGTGATAGTAGTTTGCATTACTTCAAACTCTACTTGAGGTTGTCTATAAATATCTTTGGAGCATCTATTCCCAATTAGCCCACTATAATTTTGTGGACCGGTTTTTTATCTTAATTTTCAAAAATGAGTTTTGGTGGGAGTTTATTCTGATGATGCAGAATGTGTTTGATGCAGTTTTGTCTAAAAGAATAGAATGAATACTCTCCAGGCTGTCATATTCTTCAAATACATTAAATGTCTCAAGAGCAAGATCATCCCTCAAAGCACCAAAAACAAGTATTGCTCTGTGTGTCAAGTAGATATCATAAGATTTCCCGTCCTCATGTGTAAAAGTAAGGTGATGCTCTGCAGCAACACATTTTGAAATTTTTTCCTTCAGAATTAATTTTTTTAAGTACATTTTTGTGTTCTTATCTATCTTTCCATCTAAACCAATGCAAAATAATTGTGTTTTCTTTTCTGAATATGCATTTTCCGAAATTACTTTGATTTAGCTCTGTCTAATTTACACTTATCCATTAGAATATTATTGATGACAACTTTTGGTAATAATAGATGCTTGATATCATGGAGTTTCCAAGAGCTGCGCCATGATTTGAAGAAAATCCGCCTCTAACCAGCTCCATATCATATCTTGAAAACTTTTAAAAACTATAATCTGCCCGAGTTTTTTTACTTGGTTGCTATTCATCATGTTTCTTAGATTAAAAATTTAAAAAAATTATGATAAGTGATTTTTTTATTATTAAGTGTTAAATACTAAACAAATTTAAAAAATTTAAGGCCATGCAAATAAAAATATCTTAGATTTTATTATTTCAGATATACCTTCTGGGGGATCTGGCAATGAACTTGAGAACTCATTAACAATATATTTTTGTATAATCATGTTGTTGTGTTTTAAAGCAGATGTATCTACTAAAGACATCTGAAATAACCCTTTTGGTCATGTTTTTAAATGCTGCTTTTGCTTATAAGCTCTTTTTCTATTAATGTGTTCCATTTTGCATCGCTCTTTTTTCTATTGTGTTCCATTTTTATTTTTTACATAAACACTAATACATTTATTAAAAGGCAATCATGGATTGACAGATAATCATATAGATTTTAAAACACATGAAACATATTTAGCAATCGCCCAAAAGTTAGGCTTAATGTCAGAACAATCAAGAAAGTAATAAAATTGAATCAATCGTCTGTATGTGCTTGGATCCGTTGTTTCTCTTCACTTTTGAATCATGTAAGGGGCCTTTTTTTTTTTTTGACATTTCTTATTTTCCAAAACTAAATATTTTGTTCATATTATTATCATGAGACATAAGTTATTTGCAATAAATTAATTACACTTTATTGAAGTACTAAACTATTTATATTTTGCACAAAATAATAACTTGTTAATAATATTTATACAATTATAATATTTATATAATATTTATAAAATGTGTTTATTGTTTAATTTAATCTATTTTAAATACATTATATTATTCTACAAAAGTAACATTCATAAGTAACATTTATAAAACATAAGCTAGTTAAGCATGTAAATCTAGTTGTATAAACTCGAGCAAATTAAAAAGTACATTTTAAGAAATATTTATTAGTGACTTATAAATTTAATTTTTTGGCGTTTTACTCAAGATTACAAAACTAGGAAGTTAAATATTGTTTACAAACAGATTACAATACATGCGTGCTTTAAAAAACGAAGAAAAATAAACTTCATAAAACAGTGAAAAGTAGTTTATAAAATATGCAAATCTACTAATTCAGGGTGGCCAAAATCTAATTTAAAATTCCAGGATATTTCCAGGACTTTTTAAGGTTAATTTGGGGTTTTTCAAGGATATTTTGAACTTTTCTCAACCAGAAAAAAACAAAATATATTGTCTTCAAAACATGTTTTATATATAAATATATGCTTTAATATAGTAGTATATAGTATCGTACAAAATAAAAAATATTTAAATTGTATATATATATATATATAGATACACTAGGTTATCAAACACTTCTTTTTAATCTCTTTTTTAGATTGTTCAAGTTTTTTTTAATGAAATATAAACCTCTTTAATTGCCAGTTCTTTTTCTAAAATTGTGTTTCTAAAGGAATTTGCTTTCTTAAGGATAGTGAAGTTTTGCTTTTCTTCTGCTTTAATGCTTAACCTGTCGGCATCAGTTTTCATCAGCAATTTCAGTCTTCAACACTGAATTATACCTATTTTATGCTAACCTTCAGCTTTTTAAAAGATCACTGGGAAGCTTATACTGATAAATAACAATGTCATGGGAATTGATGTGGTTATAAACTGTCCTTTGGGAAACAAGAGATATTTCTTGTAGATTTTCTGCTGACAACTGCTTGTTAACACTAAATCCTTGTTCTATTGCCTATTGGCCATGAGATAAAACAAAAATGATAGCACAGACTTTCTACAGTTCTGAATACTTTTGATTTTTGTGTGAACAGACACCAAGAAGTCTATCAACAAAATCAGTTAATTCATTAAAGGAGTCAAATTTGTTATCATTTCAAAGACTCTAAATCAAATACATTCTGCACCAAAAAATTCATCAAATTGTTGTGTTGCATCATCTGCATCGTCATTTGAAAGCCATTTTAATGCACTTAATCTCTCAGCATGATCCTTGAATCAGAGTAGATACTTCCTTGTTTTAAACCATTGCATTTTGAGACAAAGATGAAGCATCCCTCTTTAAAGAATACTTCAATGGGCATCTTTTAAATTTTGCAATAACATTATGATAATCTGCCTACATTCTTTCTTAAATTCTAATTTCTCTTCTGGTTAATAATGAAGAAAATTTAACATTTCAGTGCTGTTCCTATGTCAATATGGTCTACTTCTAAATGGTAACTTAATTTCAATACTTCAATCTTTGGTAAACTAAATACCAACTTTGATGCTAATACGCTGTCAGAGAATAATCAGAGAATATGAATATTTCATTTAAATTTAGGCATGATCTTAAAGTGACATTACTACATTCAAGCTCCATTTTATTTCTAACCTTGGATTTATATATATATATATATATTTTTTTTAATTAGGAGAACTTTTTGTAAGTTACTGATAGAACACAACCAATTAATTTGTTACAAGCAACTGTACTGATAGAAATTTGCTACAAGCATTCCAAAATTCAGGAAAACATGTTTAAATAAAAGTAAAAAAAAAACTTAAATTGAAATAAAAAACTAATAAACTACCAGTAAAGAATATATTTGCTGCATTATGTGGCTTTGCATTAAATTTATGTATTTTACTAGTTGGATGAGAATCCAACAAGGATACTTCAATGTTAAAAATATTAATATCCAAATATAGCTTGCTTTTTAGAACTTAAAATACAAAAATTTTCTCAAAAAAAATACTTTTTGCTGTATAGCCATTCTGTTTGATTTTTGTATTATACTAGTTATATATATATATATATATATATATATATATATATATATATATATATATATATATATATATATATATATATATATATATATATATATATATATATATATATATATATATATATATATATATATATATATATACTTTAAATTTACTAGATGTTAATAAATACTGACAGTAACGGTTAACAAATTTCTTTTTGCAAGTCAGAAAATACATAATTAATAAATTCAGTAGAAATCTACACAATATTAATATTACTTCTGTTTTAGGCCTAAACATTATGAAATATTGAAGTATTTCAGAAAAAAGGTCAAGGATTTCCAGGATTTATTGCTAAAAGGGGTGTTTTTCCAGGACTTTTCCAGAATCTACCAAATTCTAGGACATTTCCAGGTTTTCAAGAACATATATATATATATATATATATATATATATATATATATATATATATATATATATATATATATATATATATATATATATATATATATATATATATATATATATATGTTGTCATAGCAACATGATAAAAAAAAAAAGCAAAAGAAAAATGTTTTATAAATAACAAAATAAAATGCTTAAAAATAAGAAATTTAATCTTAAAGCTAAAAACTAGTCACATTTTCTGCATAATTATCATACATTAATAACAACAACAAAATATATATTCAAGTTTGGGCATACCTCAGTTTCAGCTGGTATTTTTCCAGCAGGACACTAAAAAAGTATAAACATGTATAAATGAATATAATTATGCTGCAATATGTTTTGTGTTATAACTGCATACTGTTGTTTTTATTTTTCAGAAATTAAAAGCTGATTGTTTTATAGCAAATAAGAAAAGACACAAAAAATGTTCTTTTTATTATGGCATGCATTATATAATATTTTATTATATCCTAAACATATAATAAAGCCAATACCTTAAAAGTAAGTAACAGAAAATTCTTAGCATTAAAAAGGATAATTTATATGCTATTTTACATTAAAAATATAAAAAAAAATTTAGAATTTTCGAAAATAGATTGAAATGAACTTTAAAGCTTTTAAATTATTTAACAAAGAAGTTTTTTTAACCTCACTAGCAACACTTGCTGATGCTTTCAATAGAAGATCAGCTAAACTACCAGCTTGGTCAAATTCTGAAGCCAAATGCAAAGGAGTCATACCTGTCTATAAATAAAAAAAACATAATGTTAAACTAACTAATCAATTAAAATTTAAACATACTTACAGTTACTTTAATATTCTTTTAAAAACATAAAAATAGTTACCTTAGAACTGCATTTTGAACTACCTTAGATCTTACCTTAGAACTAACTATATTGAAAGACATTCTTCCTTTAAACATCTCAATCGCATTTCTGGAACCATATTTTGCTGCAAGATGAAGAGCAGTTAATCCATCTTTGTCTTCATCTATCAGCGAGACACCTTGATTTATTAGTAGTTGTATGATTTCTGCATGATCACCCTCTGCAGCTAAATGAAGGGGTGTCCTCAATGTAGTCTAAAAATATATCAGTTTAAAAGCAACATGACATGTGTACTACTACATTTTTTAAGAGAAAAATTCTTTCTCCTAATAGCAAAAATCTATATTTTTTAAAAGAGAAATAGCAAACTCTTTATCTTACCTTACTTTTAGCAAATGCAATTGTGCTATTAACTTTTAATAAAGCATTAAAAACTTCATAACTGCCCTTTGCTGCAGCGATATGAGCACACCCATTACCATCCTTAATGATGTATATGTAAAAAACTATTATTTTATCTCAATGTTTATATAACTATATATCAATTGTATTATTTTTATTATAACATATCTTAATTGTATTGTTTCTATAAACCATATAAAACCTAATAATAAATAATTATTGCTAAGTTTAAATAGTTGAAAAATTAATAACCATTATCTCGTAATATTGGGTTTGATTATCAGTTAATAATAATTTAAAAAATGTTTTTTTTTTAATAATATTTAAAATAATTATAATTTTCTTCTTTAAGCTCATTTTAAATATTATTTAAACAATGTTTTTTGATAATTCTATTTAGAATTTTTTCAAAAAGACTGCAGATATTATTTTGTTTTAAGATTTTTGAAAACACTTAGATAAATAATTGCAATAAAAAAAATAAAATTTTACATATGCATTGATTTATTTAACCTATACGCATTGATTTATTTTAGATTTGAAAATTAAGTTTTTTATAATTAAAAATGCCATTAAAAAGTGAAAAAAAGAAGGCTAGAAAAAAAAGAAGGAGCATTGAGTAAAGAAACTGAAGATAAAAGCAGTACATAGACTACTTGTGATTATTATCGTATTTTGCTTAGCAACAAGTTAGAACAAAATAAACCATTTTTAAAATATTGTCAAAAGAAAATATAGGTTTTACACAAGCATACAAAAGGTGACAACGCCAATATGTCAAAATATTAAAAGAATTTATATTAACTAGTTAGTAAATATTAATTAATAATTCTCAAGTTGCAAAAAAGTTCTTTTAGACTTTGTTGTAACTTAAAAATTATTAATTATTATTTAATATAGGAAAATTTTGATATAAATGTAGCAAAAGATTTCTTTGGTGCAAATGTGTCATTTAAAACAGCTGAAAATCAAGAGTGTATAGACATGATTAATTAATTGAGACCATATTAGATGTAATAATATTAGATGATGAATCGAGCAGTCTTACCATGAATCAATTATTAATCACAATGCACATACTTAAATCTAAACTTATATGTTTTACATTTAAAGTTTTGAATAACAATGCTTGATTAAAGCACATTTTTACTATAAATTTGTGTAACGTAAGATAAAACTACATGCATTTACTAAAGTTCTGGCACTTATTCGTTAACAAAATGAATTATGTCATTATGTCATTATGTAATTCTTATTTTGTCGCGTAAGATTGGTTCTAACTGAAACTTTTTATATTAAGAGAATTTAGAATAAAAAACCTTTTATTTTTTTTGTAATGTTAATTAAAATTATTTATATTATTGTTTTTTTTTAATTTGTTCTTATTTTGGTTGACATATTAATATACATAAATAAATGAAACTAAGAAATATATAAACATTTTTATTTAGACATAAAAAGAAAAAGAAAGATTTATTTGCTATTCTCCTAGTATAAAAAACATCAGTTCGAATCTTTTTTATTTTTGTTTTAGTCAAAGAAATCGTTTGTGAATGGAATTAAGTGGGGTCATTCATAAAGCACGTCACCCTATATTTTTCAATTTTTAACCCCTTCCCTACTATCACAAATGATCACATATACCTGAACCCCTATCCCTCCTAAACTGTAATAACAATTTTTACATCAAAAATTTTTTAATAGAAAAAGATTTAAATGTAAATGTACTTTACATCAATTTAAAAATTCAACCTAATGAAAATAATGCAATACATATAAACATAAGAAGTTTAAGTAAAAACTTCCACAAATCAAAGATTTTTTGATTTAAATGACTCAAATAAGTATTAATAAAGTTTTAAAAGTAAAATAATTTATTAACGCTGCTCTTGGTCTTGAGGAAAAACTGTTTTTGATTTGATAACTTTCATAAATGCTATGAAAAATCATTCAGAAAGAGTGCCACTAGTTTTTTTAAATTTCCTTTGTTGATTATTATTTTTAATGAGTTCAATACTTTTGCAATTTTATTGCAAAAGTATTGAACTTATCCAACTTTATTTGCTGTAATCAATTATGAAAGGATTTTAGAGGTTTAGGAATAATGTGGTGCAAAAAGAGTTGCTATCCAGTTTTGGGCAACAAACAAGCTCTTTTTTCATCAAAAATGTTACCTGTCTCTGAGAATAGTCTCATTTGAATTGTTATTTAAATTTTAAATAATTAAAAAATATAGGATGCCTATTACAGTAAATATTTCAATATTAATCTAAATGGAAAAATAGAAAATAAAGAAATAATTTTAAATACAAATATTATATAGGTTAAAACTTTCAATAAATAAAATTATAAAAAACAAATAAAAACAACGTATAAGATGTAAATAAAACAAGAATCAAGTTACTGAAATATATATATATATATATATATACAATATATATATATATATATATATATATATATATATACATATACATATATATATATATATATATATATATATATATATATATATATATATATATATATATATATATATATATATATATATATATACATATATATATTTATATATACATATATACATATATAAATAATATATATAAAATAAAATAAAAAATTTTAACTTATTATTTAAAACTTGAAATAAAATCTCTTTGAAAAAACTTTTTGAGAATTGGGTTTTCCGAAAATCCCTAATATCGCTTGGAATAATTTTTTACAATGTGTTCCAATAACAGCAAATATTATTGAAAAAAAAGTTAGCAAGAAATAAAGTACAATTTAAAAAATTACAAATTTGTTTGGTTTAACGCCCACAAATACTACTACTTTTAAAGTTGCACCCTTTTTGGCTGAAAAGTTATTTAAGTTAAATAAATGTTTTGATTATAACAAAGTGGTTCTAGAAATTTATTTAATGATAATAGATTTCTTTACTTTACTGTTTGATTATATTTAAAACGTAAATTAAATACGTATATTAAAACGTAAATTAAATACCTTTAACATTAAGTATGTTTGTTTTTTTATTACAACAAACTGGTACTAGAAACTTAGAAAACAAGAAATTTCACTGCTTGCTTGAATTTAAAACATAAAAGCAAATTTAAATGTTTTAATGAAACATAGTCATAATAACATTTTATGACTATGCATGAAAAACTAATAATTGATATTCTTTGTTGCCACGATAGTGTGCAATTGCTTGTTGTTGTTTTTTTGCTGAGACTTTGTATTTGTAACTTTATTTCGCTATGCGATTTATGTATAAAGAAAGTTAATATTAATTATAAAATTGAATTTGCAATAAATGTGAAATATGAAATTTACGAGCTTGTGTTTACTATTTTCAAAACCTTTTTTATTTTTCTATTTTTAAAACATTTCTTTTGATGACACAAATTATTACATGATGGTGTAAGGGTTTGTCCATAAAGAACGCCAAACAGAACTTAAATAATAACTAGAAGTAGAAGATCGCTATATTACTTTAAAAATTGCCCTTTAATGCTCAGCAGTGAAAAAAAATATCTTCAAAAGAATACTCTTAACATGAAAGCGACAACGATATATTAGGATTAAAAATCCTGCTAACCAGCCTCGAACCCCTTCTTCACCTATTAGGCTGGCGTAGATGTAACCTGTGTTACATTGTTTCCTGCCTAGGATGATGAATGCTGGATCTCCTTGACTCTACTCATTGAATTTTGCTTATGCCTCCTTGATAATGGCTATGCAACTCTTCCTGTTAACTCCATATGAGGGTACAGCTCTAAAACTCAGTTAAACGGTTCTGAGGCCGGCTGGTAGTAAGGTTTCCCGAACTCTGTGGTAGCTCTAAGAGAGGCTGATTCCATCAACAGCTGCAAAATATCAGAGTGTTAACAGTGCCATGTTGCGCATGGATGGTGTCCTTGTTAATGCTTTTGGTGTGCATTGTCAAGGCCACATAAGGAGCCCTATGTCACGGCTTAGGGTTAATTAACAGGACTGAGACAACTGCATAGCTCATTGATTAGGAGGCTGTGCCCTATCTATGAATGAGTCAAGTTCTCATTAAACCTAAATCATGACCAAAGTAACCAAAAATTTTAAACCTAAAAAACCATCCCCACCACCTAAATATTTTAATATATCTTTTACAAATATTCGCGGTCTACGAAGCAACTTTCCATCAGTTGAGTCTTACCTCCTGCAAAATTCACCAGACTTGCTTGCACTCAGTGAAACAAATTTAAATTCTGCAATTCCTTCTTCAGATGTCAGTGTTGATGGGTTCTATCCTTTGATTCGTAAAGACTCAAATAGTCACATGCTAGGTTTAGGGGTATACATATGCATTAATTACCCTCTTTGTCGTGAAATCAGGTTCGAATCCTTTGACCATTCTTTTATGTGCTTTCGCCTAGCACCTTTCACTCTATCACCTTTCTCTTTGTTCTTTATCGTTCTCCTTCTTCCCATGATTGCACTCTCTTAGATATTGTTGCTCCCCTCTGCCAATATTGTTGTTGTTGGTGATTTTAATGCCCATCACACTGAATGGCTTGGCTCTAACACCACTGATCCTGCTGGCACTAAAGTCTTTAACTTCTGCGTTTCTCAATCTCTTACTCAGATAGTTAACTTTGTGACTCGTTTTCCTGACAAACCTAATCATTTACCTTCACTCCTTGACTTATGTCTTGTCTCTGACCCTAGCTTATGTTCAGTTTCTCCCTTTTCTCCCTTAGATGGTTCTGACCATGCAATGATCTCTATAAATCTTTCTTCTCGCACTTCTTTTTTGGGCTCACCTTATCATGGCACCACCTACTACTACCCTAAAGCTGACTGGGATTCCTTTCGTGATTTTCTTCGTGATGGTCCTTGGGCTGATGTTTTTTCTCTCTCAGCTGACAAATACGCCTCCTACATAACCTCCTGGATTCAGGCTGGAATGGAAGCTTTTATTCCTTCGCGTCGGTTTCGAGTCAAACCTCATTCTACTCCATGGTTTTCTCCTTCTTATGCGGCTGCTATATCCAATCGTAATCATTTTTTTCATCTTTTTCAAAAGAACAACTCTCTTGAGAACA